ATTGAAAAAGGTAACAAAAAATACAGTGAAGAAACACATATATATATATATATAAAAAAAACAACTAGTTTATGCTTACCTCGACATGCATGTAAATGGTGCCATTAATTGGATAATGGTGTTAAAATGTCTCCCTTATCAGGTCATATTTCATAACTTTAACCAGTTGACATCCGCGGTGTTAAACCCCCTTCCCATCCAGGCCATTTTTCAGTATTCAGCGCTGCGGTACTTTGACTGACATTTATTCCGTCATGCAACGCTGTACTGAAATGAATTTTATACCATTTTTTAGGGACAGATAGAGCTTTCTTTTGGTTGGATTTAATCACCACTGGGGGTTTTATTTTCTATATTAAAAGGAAAAATTAACGAAATTTTAAAAAAACTGTTTCCCCTATATTAAAATGATAAAACATTTATTATTACACAATTTTTTGGTAAAATATAAAAGACGGGGTCACGTCGGGTAAAAAGACACCAAACATGTCAAGCCTTAAAATTGCGTGCGCGAAACCTCAAAAAAACGTAAACGAGCACATATAGACGATCGGCGGGCTATGGAGCCGCTGATCGCCTATATGTGAAACACCCAGTAACGGGTGTTTGCATTGGTCGGGTCTTTTCTGCCCGTGCGGTCACGCTAAGGGGCGCGCGCGAGCAGAAAAAAATTGCCGCCTGGAGACGGCAACCCGCCAATGCTGCAGTGCCGTCCGTCCGTTTTTTTTACAGGCTTTAGAGGTTAATCTGTCAAAATGTGCATTAAGACCTTTTTGATTTCAAAATTGAACGTAGTGTTCGGAGCGGGTACCTTAAATACAGTTTTAATGTTTTCCATTTAGCTTGGAATTGGATGGGGTACCCAAATCTACTGACTTACTAAGCTTGAGTTTGGGGGGAAAAAGTGCAAAAGGGTATACTTCTCTCAGAACTGAGAAAAGGCATCCATCACCTAAGGACACTACCAAAATATTGAGGCAGGCTGGGGTGGGAAGGTTTATGCAGGGCTATCCTGCAGTTTTTACTGATTTGCCAGTATCAAATAGCCTATAGGTAGCACAACCCAATAGGTCAAGAATTTAAGTCTGTGGCTTGTGATGTAAGCCAAGAATTCTCACAATAGCTTCATGCAGCTGCATATTTTTCTCAATATGAATGGGGACACCTCACCACAAACACTAGCCATTTACTCCCCATACATAAACAGCAGATTCAACAATCCCCACCTCTACAATAAATGCACCTTAAAAAATAACATAATCATGGTGCATGCCTTTAACCATTAGGTTAGGCGTCTACCTTCTGCAACACATGCAGTTACTGAAGTTAGAACAGATATGAACATTATACAAAATGCACTGTTATTTGTGACAGCTTCGGAGAAGGTGAAGACATCCTGCATGTTTCTTGGAGCACGTATACACCTATTATAGAACTACTTTCAATTCATTCTGCTGAGGTAGTACTAAAAAAGGACCAACTTTCTCATTTCAGAAAATGCAGATCGTTTTTAATAGCCTTCAATTTCCCAAACTGGAAACACTTTCTAAACCAGAAAATGTCACCAACAGCCTTATGGCACTGCTCAATACATCCAGGAGGTCCCACTCTTTCTCGAGTCATCTTCTATGCTGCTGCACTTGGTCTTTTAGCAACAGTATTGTCTTCCTACATACAATTGCTCAGAAAAAGGTCAAAATACATCTCAGTTTTAGGTTTGCTCAAAAACATATTAAAAAGACAGTTGACCAAGTTTAGTATGACATCTAACCCAGATTTTCACTACACAGCTGTTGCAGACACTGCTGTACAATGCTAATAACTTTGGAGACTCCAAAAAGCAGCCTGACATTTTTGTGCCGAGATCATTTTTACAGAAAGCCCTGTACTTTCCCACTAAACCCTGCAAGTTCTGCTTTATGGTTGGCACCAATCACTTCACTGAACGGCAGTCTTTTTCATAATTTGAACACATTAGTTGGTGAAAGATTGTCAACGCAAGCCAGGCAGTTGGGTAACAATGATGCACCCAGACAAAAATATTTAACGTATAGGAAGGTGGCAGAGATCGACATGGATAAGTGCGTCAAAGAAAACCTGAGCTGCCCAAAGCAACCAGGTTTTGCCATTGAAAAAGTGATACAGGTTACTCACCGACTACCATCTGCACCTTCTTTTAAAACAAAAAAGGTCCAATGCAATATTTATTCTGGAAAGTACACCTGCTAAACAACATGAGGCAATAGTACATTTGTTCCGTAGTGTACCCATCCCATTTTATTTAGGCTGCATTTGATACAGGGATCATCTAACCCCAAGAGCAATAACGCTTTTTAACCACTTGCCGTCCAGAACAATTTCTTAACCCCAAATCGTTATATAATTTCTGAAAGCAGAGGCCCTGTAGAATATTTAAAAAAAATGCTGGTTGCAATTTTTGTTTTATATGTTAAATATTTGCACAAATGTTTATTAAACCAATATTTTTAGGATAAAAAGACACTAAAATGATTAGGGCACACAATATATTACCCAATATTTTCGGTAAACTGATTGATGGCAATTAGGGATGCACAGATACTTTTGAGTACCAGTGCCGATACTTGGCATTTTCATGAGAACTATCAGGGTTGCAGCGGCTGAAGCTGGGGCCTGGCTCTGGCGCTCCACCACTGTCCTGAAATCATTAGTCTGTATTGTTTTAGAAAAACTGTCACATGACAACAAAAATGTATCAGTACTCGTATCTGTGAGTACTTGGGCAAGTACCAGTACTCGTACTTGGTATCTGTGCAACCCTAATGGCAATCATAGTTTTACCATATTTTCACACCCAACAGGTTTGAGTTTGTATGTGGGGAACTTTAAAAAAATATATTTTTTTTTACACTTCATTTATTGCCATCACATAGGGGCTAACAAGCCCCCTGTGCAATAGAGAGAATGTGACAGGTACTCTTTATGGAAAGATCAGGGGTCTATTAGACCCATAATTTCACCCATGAAGCCCAAAATCACGAGCCTCTCCAGCCACAGCAGCTGGAGAAATTACAGTTTGAAACCAGAAGAAGTGATAATGCAGATTGCTTCTGGGTTCAGCAATTGGAAGGGAGATGAGCACACTGTTAGCTGTTGAAGTGTAGACACCCACCGTGCCATTTTGCCGCCATTGAAAAAATAGAAATGCAAAGTGAAGATTCAGTGCAGAACACCGGTGTATGTAAATGCATTGTTAAGATACTGGCCATATAACATTCAGGAACTCAGCTCCCCAAAAGCTAAAGAAAATTTTAAAGATATAATTTCTCCCAATTTATTTCCGCTTATTTGCCAAAATGTACAGCAAGCACAAGATTTTAGACTTAAAGAGTAACCAATTGTTTTTAAATACAGCATTGGTTATATAGAACATATAAAAATATCTTGTAAGCGTCTATAAAGTAAAGAAATACAAACTTCAACATCTCGACTGCTAAAACTGTAGTTTCCACATGAAATGCACTCCTAATACATGCACACAAAATGTTTGCATAGTAAATTATAGCAACTGCCAATCCAAAAACAAAACACTTTAGTACAAAAATGTTAACACACCAATAACCTAAAGAAAAATCCAAATGCAAGAACCAGCAGGTCATCTAAAGTGCCTGCATGCGCATAAGACACAAGGGCTTTATTCTGAGAAATTCTTAAAGGACGGACACAAAAAAAGTGTGCCACGATCATTCAATGACAAAACATTTTAGGTTACAATGTATACATATATATTACACCCAAGTATGGATAAGAAAAATGAATGGATTGTACAAGTGTGCTTTTGAACAACGCAGGGGCAGTCCAACAAAAGTAATGGTTTCAACCGATGTCGAAGTTTGTGATCTGAATCAGCCAAAACATATACTCCTTGGATACCTCCATGATCTAATAAAGTCACACGATGTTTCCATTTGTTTGAATCGCAAGGGGGTCCAAAAATTAATGACACAAATTGCGCAAGTGGAGTAAGACTTGAGTGGCACAAGTACAATGTCACCGCTGGAGCCCCTCAACATAAAAACCCAATGAGCAATACCACCTCCCCATGTCCATTCATACTGTAATTGAAGTATCGGCTCATATCTGACCACTCAAATAAGCAGTTCTTCAGAGGAACACTTAAATGTTTTGTCACAAAATTGTGGTAAGAACCATTCTTTTTGAATAGCTACATAGCACATTGGGTACAGACTTGTGGAAAATTAAAAAACAAAATATTTAAGATATGGGAATTTGCAGATTTAAACTGCTTAACAGTGTATTACACCATGCAATTGCATTAGGACCTATGTAACTGTTGTATGAAACGTATCTAGCTGGAGACTTGGATAACTGTACATGTGATTCACTCACCCTTCTCCCATGCAAATGATCTGTTAGCTGGCAACTGGATTCACACTGTCATATTTGGGGGTGGGGAACAATGTGGGGGTCAAGGAAGAAGTTCTCAGCTTTGTTAAGCTACAAGTCATTCTGGAGTTTACACAGGACTTTCATTCAACACTCCAGACAGCCGAACAGAGCAGCAGGGAGCGAAGGAAAGGAGAGTATATGCTGCTAGGGAGGGGGTAAAACGACACTGCCTTACATGGACAAGGTAAAAGGTTCACCAAGCATTTGAACTAGAGGAAAACTCTCCTCAGTGGATGTTCTAATCCTACAAAGCTTGGAAAGTGTCTAAGGAAGGCATATTAGCCATCCTAAAAAGCTATCTAGATCAATACTGTTGGTCACCAAAACAGGATCTCAAAACGTAAATTTTAATGACAGTGAATGCTGAATCTTGCCTCAAATGTGCTATGACATATAAAGTTTCCATTCAACAAAACAAGATATGAATGCCCAATACTTGCAGCCTGACACTAAAGTCAGTGTGAAGCTCTGTAGATGCTTTCCCTTTATAAATACAAGGCAGGAAAAAATGACAAGCCCCAAATTGCAAAATTTTCAGTTTGAAGGTTACAAGGAAATTGAGATGCACACACTTGTTGGGCCTTAGAACATTTTCAGTGCCATTCAACTAAACAAACTCATCCAGGCACAACAATCAAACTCCAACAAAACTCCAAACGGCTGTATAAAATGTTTTAAAAGGCCCTATCTGAGAGAACCAGAATGTTTGTATTAGTAAGCAGACTGCTTAATTAGGTTGATGGCCTAAAATACTTTGATCATTCGCTGTCAGACATAAAATGAGGTGTAGCGTTCTAACAACCTTAGAATAAAAAAAAAACCCTTCACATTTTCATGGATAAAACTGCTCAGGGGAAAGAAATTAATGACCACTGGATTTGTGACTATTCCAAGATCGAGATCTTGATTTTGATCGTGACCTGGACTCAGAATGTGATGGAGACTTTGATCTTTCGTGGCCTTCTCTTCTGGACTCCCGGCTCACTCTAGTAGTGGTTTTGCATTTGCCATCTGCTTTCGATCTAGAATGTGACCCAGATCCAGATCGCCTCTCTTTCCTTTCTTCTCTTGGCTGTGATTTGGAGTGAGACCTACTGTTAGACTTGGATTGTGATCGCTGCCGCCGATTAAATCTGAAGGGGAGCAAAAAAAAATAAAAAAATAAGAGAAAGTTAAGATACATACCACATGCTGTAATGATTAACATTTTCGTGTTCGATTAATTATAACGCACATACAGATCCAACTACATTGGGCTATACACATACAGCACAGCAATAAAATGAACTAGGATCACACTAATCCAGCACAATATTAATTTCACGTGTCCCACTCAATATGGCCGCCGCTTGAGTGGGGCAACTCAGGAATAACGTGCTGGATTAGTGTGATCCTAGTTCATTTTATTACTTCATTGCTGTGCTGTATGTGTATAGGCCAATGCCTTGGCCGGCGCTTGTGCAGAAAGTTTCTTGGGCAAACTCACTGGCCCAAGTGGCTCCGTCGGCTAACGAAGGGGGGAGGAGTCCGGTGACGTTACCGGACTCGTCCCCTTCGTTAGCCGTCACGGACGTCGACGTCACCAGACTCCTCCCCCCTTCTCCGTGACGTCACCGGATCGCCGACGGGACTCCCGGAAGCCGGCGGAGAGGTGAGTGTTTTCACACTAGCGTTCAAAATAAATTTTAATCAAAAAGTTTAACGATTAATCGAGAAATTAATCTTTAATTTCCACAGCCCTATATACACATTACATTTTTTTTGTACAGATGTATTAAATCAAGCACCTAGGCATGCAGACTGCTTCTACAAACATTTGTGAAAGAATGGGTCGCTCTCAGGAGCTCAGTGAATTCAAGTGTGGTACTGTGATAATTATAACCCTAAATCCATCCGGGAAAATTTCCTTGCTACTAAATATTCCAGTCAACTGTTAGTGGTATTATAACAAGGTGGAAGCAACTGGGAACAACAGCAACTCAGCCACCAAGTGGTAGGCCACGTAAAATGACAGAGCGGGGTCAGTGCATGCTGAATCGCAGAAGTCGCCAACTGTCTGCAGAGTCAATAGCTACAGACCTCCAAACTTCATGTGGCCTTCAGATTGGCACAACAGTGCGTAGAGAGCTTCATGGAATGGGTCTCCGTGGCCGAGCAGCTGCATCCAAGCCTTACATCACCAAGTGCAATGCAAAGTGTCGCATGCAGTGGTGTAAAGCACGTCGCCACTGGACTCTGGAGAGAAGTGGAGACATGTTCTCTGGAGTGACGAATCACGCTTCTCTGTCTGGAAATGCGATGGACGGGTCTGGGTTTGGTGGTTGCCAGGAGAACGGTACTTGCCTGACTGCACTATGCCAAGTGTAAAGTTTGGTGGAGGGGGGATTATTTTTCTGGGGTTGGGCTTGTTCAGTAAAGGGAACTCTTAAGGCATCAGCATACCAAGACATCTTGGACAATTTCATGCTCCCAACTTTGTGGGAACAGTTTGGGGATGGCCCCTTCCTGTTCAAACATGACTGTGCACCAGTGCAGAAAGCAAGGTCCATAAAGACATGGATGAGCAAGTTTGGGGTGGGTGGAGGAACTTGACTAGCCTGCACATAGTCCTGACCTCAACCTGATAGAACAACTTTGGGATGAATTAGTGTGGAGACTGCGAACCAGGCCTTCTCGTCCAACATCAGTACCTGCGCTCCCGTCACATTGGTCACAGAGCAGATCGTAGAACAGGTATTCTCCACTCCCTATCCTGAACAACGAGTGTTGTGGTCCCGGGGACCCTGAATACCACAGCGGGGGAGGGGGCAGACAAGATGGCTGCTCATTTTACACAAGTGACCCGAGATCAACTATACTAAAATGAGTGGAAGCTATAGTGCCATACTGTGCAATATTTTTAGACAACAGTCCGTTAAGCTACAGTAAAATGACAACATTCATATTTATAACCAAAATACTGTACCTGCCACGATGTGATCGACTTCTGCTTCGGTGCTGTTTATCAGATCGCCTGAGGGGGGGAGAGGGAAACAAAAACAAAAAACACCAAGTAAATACAAAAAAGCCCCCTAAGAAATAGATAAAAACAAAACAGTAATAATACAGGCAGAGAAGGCTTACCCTTTAGGACTGTAAGATCTCTCATAGTTCTGGTCATAAGACCGGCTCCTAGACCGTCGCCTCTCATAACTGCGGCTTCTAGACCGCCTGTGTCTATCACCATCATCATAATGTGAAGAACCGTAGGAGCTGCTACCCTCCTTGGCTTTCATTTGATTGGGCGCTATTAAGTTTGAAAGGATAAAAATGAATAATTTAAAAACTATTTACTAAACATTTGCAAAAAATTAAAGCCGTTTCACACTGGATACCATTTCATGCTGTTAAAGGGAAAGCTGTTCTGAGAGATACAGAAGCTGTCCTTGCTCCTAACATTCTGACACAACCTGGAAAAAATATGCAGATCAGCCAAGTCAGAATTCCTGATCTGCATACTTGTTTCGCACATGTGAAAGTATCAACACTGCTGAATCAGCATGAGGAGGTAGTATTTTTAGAAGGGGAGGCAAGAGTGGTAGCTTCCTCAGTACAGATTATTGCCGTTTAACAAACCTGCGCTCATAAATATTTTGCCGCAACGAGTTAAAACATGCCAACTGCATTTTGCTATTCAAAGAAACCAAAATAACCTTGGCTGCAATGCATAACATTTCATTTAAACTTGACTTAAAATGACAAAATGCAACTCAATGCACTAAAAATTACATCATTCAGGACTTTTCCCCCCAATATACAGCAATATATTTTTGTGAACAGATCCTACTGAAAGCAAAGAATTCTCCCTTACATTTTGCTGTATTTTAAAAAGCAGCAAAATGCTCAGCCACACTCCTGGTGTGAACTAACCCTACAAAATAGATTTCACACAATGCAATGAAAAATGATATTTCCTGGACTGGATTGACACAAGCAAACTGTTTCAACTTAATATCCAGGCTTACTGTCATAGTTAATGTAAATGGTATAGGGATGTAGGTGTAATGCATTTATATACAACCACCTTAGTGGGGTGTATGCAAGTAAGGAGGATATATACACTACAAGTTTCCACAGCTCCCGCTTACAAAAATACAGTGATGGTAGCAAACAAAAAAAACAACAAATTACCTTCTGCAAACTATTAAAATCTTAAGACAAAAAAGATTTTCTTCCAAACTATACTTACTTTTTCTGTCTCCCTGTGCAAACTGAATTTCAATCTGGCGTCCACAAATCCATCTTCTGTCCAGGTTATGCAAAGCATCCTCAGCATCGCGGACATCTTCAAATGTGCTTGCAGTCAAGGTACTTTACAAAAGCAACATGAAATACTGCGGTTTTCCAGTAATTTACCCAAAAAGGTAAAGTGTTCCAGCATGGGTCATCAGAATCCTAGTTCACAGAATTAAGTCAACAGGTCTAGACACCTTAAAGAAAGCCTGAACAGAAGGAAATACAGGGGTTGCCATTGCGACCTTTTCCTGACAATGCTAGCCACCCATCACTGGCTTAAGTTATTTTAACCCCTTCATGACTGGAGACTTACACTGTACATGAAGTGCCCAAATGACCGACCACATATACTGTACGTAATCAGCTATTTGGAGCTTTTAAAAAGCAGGTAACCGATGAGATCAGTGGTTACCGTTCATTAATAGATGCCGTTGAGGCATTAATAAAAGGAATTAAGCTTTTGTAAAAGCTTAATTCTTTCATCAATTAAAGAATACCTGATCGCTGTCTGACAGCTCTGCTAGATCACTGTTTTGACAGCTCCACACAGATTGGGATTTTCTGCTCTGTACAGATTCCATGTGTACAATAAGTTTAATTTTGCTACATATTTCTATGCTTCATAAAAATATGTAGCAAAATTGTAAAAACACTGCATCAGGCTTCTGATTGTTCTAAGAATGATCAGAAGTCTTTAGTAACATCTGAATCTGACATGCTGCAGTGTCACTAAGGTTATTATTGGCTATTCCTAAATTTTAAGCAGCCTAATAGCTAAAAAAAAAAAATGTCTCAAAAGCAGTTATAGTGGCTGCTTAATATAAGAGACAAAGAAAAAAA